CTAGGCTCGTGGATATTTAAAGTGAAGTATAAGTGATTTAGGGGTAAGCTGAGCGCTATCACTTAAGTTTTTGGGTTGCAAGTAATAGAAAATACAATGCAAACTGCATAAAAAGAATTTAATGGTTCATTCAACTGACAAGACCAAAGGCAGACTGGCTTTCAGGAAGGCTTGGTTCAAAGGCTCAATGACGTCACTCTAAGTCTGACTGCCTTCCTTGGTGGTCACTTGGTTCTAAGGCTGGCAATCCTCCACAACCCCAAGTCACAACATGGGTGACTACAAGTAGATTCTGATAGCTACATGTGTTCTCATTTAAGTCAAGGAGTTAAACAGCATTTCTCGGGGAAGCTCTTTGGAGTAAGGAAGCTCCAAACATGACTTCACATCTCACTGGCCTTTAGTGAGTCACTGTGAACAAATTATTATGTCCAAATGGCTGGGCTTTACTGACTGGCTTAAGCTAATCAGGCTCTTCTATACAGCCAGATGGGGTCATTAAAATGGAATGACTATGTAATAGGGAATAAAGGTTGACAGTTCCTCAGGGAAAAATACAGGTACCAGCAAAACCATGGGCAGACAGAGGATGGGGAGGACACAATACAAACAGAGATATCCTTAAATTGGTCTAGTGTGCATACTCTTACATGGTACAATCAAAATTCAAATAATGCATTTAACTTCAAACTTCTCAGGCACTGCTAGTGTTCATACAACAACCACCATGACAAATCATGCAAGTAACATGGTCTTAAGCCCTTATGGCACTCTGTTATTTATTTATTTTTTTTTAGCAAATCTCATGGGGGGGGGGGGGGCATATAAGACTATACCCTGATGAACAGACACAGGACATAATACTAGAAGTTTTCTTGTTCAGTTGCTTCTCTAGAATATATTTGTCACTAGGACCAGGGGCATAAACTTTTGGGAAAATAAAATATGAGCCATACTAGAAAAGGGACTGACTTTAAAATAGCTGTCAGACAGGAGGAGGTTTGCAGGGCTAGGTGGAAAAGGTGAAGGGCTTAAGGGGAAAAAAAAAGAAAAACTCACAGACAACAGCATGGTAATTACAGGGGAGGGGGGTGTAGAAGAGGGTATAGAGGGAATAAACAGTGAGTTGATTTAGGGTGATGAACACAATACAATATACAGATAATGTGTTATAGAACTGTCCATCTGAAAGCTATGTACTTTTATTAACCAATGTTACCACAATAAATTCAATTTTTAAAATGCCAGTAAAAAGAAGGGGAAAGGGGTGGGCTTAAAGACTAATTCAGCAAAGATTACATTTCTTAGCTGGGGGATAGACAGTCTGGATAAGGCAAATATATTCCTGATTTCCTTATATTGAATAAAAAGAAAATTATGTAAAGAAAAAGAAAACCAGCATCTTTTAGGCATCTACCATGAGCTAGGCACTAAGCATATAGGTGTTTATATGCTATTTCACTTAATCCACATAACTCTGAGGTAGATAATAAGACTCAAAAAGGTTACATAATTTGCCTTACCTGAGTTTAAATCCAGGCTCTACAACCAACTACAAACGTGACTAGAAATTAGTCACTACCTTTTTGGACCTGTTACCTCCTCTGCAAAATAAGGATGAGATGACCTATAATGATCCTTCTAGCTCTAAACTCTTATGATGATTCTAGTGTTATAAAAATCTAACATATATTAAAATTGTCTAATATAGAATAGTGCTTCCTTAGCTTTCCAGGCAAGCTTTTCTTAGTGATTTATAAATTACTATAATGAGTAAACTTTGTTTACTGACAATATATAGATTTTGGAATAATTTGTTACTTCCAATAATCTTACTCAGACTTTAGTAAGGGAGGCTAATTAGGCAACCAATATATTTTTTAAAATATGTTTTTATTGATTTTTTTAGAGAGGGGGGAGAGAGAGAGAGAAAAACATCAATCAGCAGCACACACCCCTATTGGGAATGGAATTTGAAACTCAGGCATGTGCCCTGACTGGGCTTCGAACCAGAACCTCTCAATCCATAGGATGATGCTCAATCCACTGAGCCACACTGGCTGAGCATATTATTATTTCTTTTTAATCCTCACCCGAGGACATATTTTTATTGATTTTCAAGAGTGAGCCCTGGACGGTTTGGCTCGGCGGTTAGAGCGTCGGCCTGAGGTCCAGAGAGACCCAAGTTCGGTTCCTGCTAAGGGCACATACCTCGGTTGCAGTTTGTCCCTGGTCCTGGTTGGGTTGTGCAGGTGGCAACCACTCGATGTGCCCCTTTCACATCAATGTTTCTCTCTCTTTCTCTCTCCCTCCCACTCTATCTGAACAAAATATGGAAAAATGTTCTTGGATGAGGATTAAGAAAAAAAAAAGAGTGAGAGGAAGAGGGGAGGCAGGAGGGAGGGAGAGAGAGAGAGAGTCCTGCACATGACCCAACCAGGGATTGAACCTACAAACATAGGTATGTGTCCTGAGCAGGAATCCAACATGCAACCTTTTGTTGTATGGGCTGTTGCTCCAACCAACTGAATCACCCAGACAGGGCAAGGTTTTTTATTTTTCACACACAAAATATAAATTTTTAAAGTCTGTGAGAGCAGTGACTCAGCTTTGTTAACATCTGTAAACTTAACTCCTAGAATAATACTTGGCAAATAGTTGTTGAATGACTAAATAAACTGAGCATGTGCTCTGAAGTCAAAGAAACCTGAAGTGAATAAACTGCTTGGTTGTATATACCTGGGCAAATTACACCTAAGCCTTAATTTCTTCATCTGTAAAATGACCACAACTATATTTAAGAGTTTGTTGTGAGAAGTAAATGAAAACCTACAAAAAATGCAAAACTCAATGTCTGATACGTAGTGGGCACTTAATCTATGACAGCTATTTCTACATTATATGATAGCTATATTACTATTATGGATGATACTATAATAGTGCTTATCAGCACAAAAAAGTAACCAAGATATTATCCTTGATTCCTTTATCTTCCTCACCCACCACACTGAATCATCCATGTCCCGTCGGTTAGCTCCTCCTTCAAAATCCAACCACTTCATCCTAACCCCAGTCAATCATCATCTCTTGCCTAGACTACTCCAGGTGTCACTATGTTCACTCCTTACCTCTCTAAATCTATTCTCTACAGAGTTATCTTAAAACACAACTCTGATCACATTATTCTTCTCCTAAAATCTTCATAGGTTCCTCATCACACTCAAATTAAAATCCAAATTCTTTAACTATGACCTAGAAGGCCTTACACAATGACCTGGTCTCTATCTCCCTTTTCTACCTTATCTCCTACCCTTCTCTCTCTCTTACTTTACTTCTGTCATATTGGCCTTCTTGCTGCTAGTTCACTTCTTATCAATCATGTTTCCACTCAAAGGGGAACTCTTTGACCATCCTATTCAAGTGTATACTGCCCCTACCCATCATTCTTTTCTCTTTACTCACCTTTATGGTTTTTATAATACTTTACAGCATCTAATACATTGAAATTGTATTAGTATCTGCCTACTCAGTGTTGATTGTCTCTTACCCCACTAGACAGTATACTCTAAGAAGCAAAGTTCATTTCACTCTTATAACCCCTTTGCCTTCAACAGTGTCTAGCATATAGTAAGGTCCTTGAGATATTTCCTGAATGAATAACAAATACTGTCATCTGGGTCCAACAAGTGCTGAGTTCTATAGAAATCTTCAGTACAGTCACTTAGGAACCACATGATGCTGAAAGACTACACTCTAGAATTAGAACACTAATGTGGAATTCTACAACTGTACAATCAGCACAATACAATTGTTGACTAGCAGTCAGCTAAACAGTCATATAACAATTTATCAGACAGATCCCAGACAAAAACCAGCTGATAATACCCAACTGAAGCCATTATGAAATTCTACTATGCTGGAATTATTTCCAAAGTTTGATTTACTAGTACTGTTAGCATTTCCCTTCATAGTTTTTAATTTTAAAAATAAAACTAAGCACCACTTCTGTTTACCTGCTCTGTCACATGAAACTGTAAACATTTTCCACCTACACACATATCCAATCTGTCCTAAATATACACTGCTGAAAATAAAAAATGGTTTTAAACCACAGTGCCCCCACTAAAGAAATGTAAAAATGTGTTTTTAAACATGCATAAGATCATGTACAATGCAAAATGGGTAGAAAGAGAAGAATTTCAGATGGGGAGGATGGTTCAGTTTAAAGGAAATACAATAATTCCCAAATACTTTCGGTACATTTCTCAGAACAAGAATGCTTTAAGCTTATACTATTTACAGTTTAGAGTCTTGATATAAATTTAAAATACTCTTCCTGTACATAAATTGTCCACCATGAAACCAACCAGACACTCAGTAAAATTAAGAAGTAAAGAGTAAGTAATTGCGTAAGATTAATAAATAATTAAAGAGCAATACAGTGAAATAAAGAGTAAACAATAAACAGGAATAATTCAGTAAGACAATTTGTCAATAAGTAAAAACAAGGGGCTGTTGAATGTCAACAAGTTTTATAGCCCACAGCTAATTAGCAGATTTGTATAGTGCAACATAAATTTCTCAAGCTCCTTCCTGAATAATTCAAAAATATAGAAATGTTAAAAAAAACTCAACTTTCACAGTAAATCAGATTTTTTAAAACCAGGAATACATTCCTAAGGGTTTCCATGAACAACTTGCACCAGACAGCTAAAGAGTTTTATGCTACATGCCCAAGTGGAAAGCTCTGAGGAAAAAGAATAGAAGCAGGAGGCCAGTGATTCTCATCTCCTTACTTCAAGAAATAAGAGTAATTATATTTTTAAGTCTAAACACAGCTAAAGCAATGTACAAGTCCTCCCATAACATTGCACTTCCATCCTCAGGCAACAAATGAAATGGCCCGTAAGAGCACAGTGCTGACCATTCAACCCCCAGGCATCAGCAGAAAAGTAACAAACATTCTGTTGACTAAGGCAAAAGCTGTACTGTATTTCCAGAGTCTGCAGAGTTCTGAAAACTGTTCCCACAATCTGCATGCCCCAATCTACACAAAGCACCATGTGGCTGAGAAACCGGTTATAACAGGTAAGAACACTCAAGTGTGCAAACATTCTATGGATCAAACAAAGTAAGAGGGTAGTGGGGGTGGTGAGGGGTGGGAAGAGATAAACCAAAGAACTTGTGTGCATATGCGCATAGCCAATGGACATGGACGGCAGGGGGGGGATCAATGGGGTAAAGGGGGAGAAACATCTGTAACTAACTAAACAAATTAATTAATTAATAAAATAAAGAAGTGGGATCACTGAGTCAAATGGGGACATCTGTAATGCTCTCAACAATAAATATTTTAAAAACTTGAAGAAGAAAAAAAAACAAAGAGGGTAGTAAGTATACAAGCCACACTATGTTAAAAATGGCTTGTTAGAAATTTTTTAAAGAAATCAAGTTATTTCCTAGTACAATTCCCAATAGACTGTTCAAAGTGATCTTGCAAAAGACTCTTGTATAATTTATTCTAATGCTCATAATCCAGGAGAACACTGAGTTGTGATAAAGGTATTTTAAACTCAACACATTCGCCCAGCCAGTGCACCAAGACGTCACCGGTTTGATTCCTAGTCAGAGCATATGCCTGAGTTTCAGGCTCGATTCCCAGTAGAGAGCGAGCAGAGGCAGTCTGTGGATGTTTCTTTCTTTTTCTCTCTCTCTCTCTCTCTCTCTCTCTCCCCCTTTCTCTCTCTCTAAAAATCAATAAAAACGTTTTTTTTTAATTTTTTTTTTGGTACGTGCCCCTAGCGGGAACCAAACCTGGGACTCTCTGGTCCGCAGGCCGACACTCCAACAGCTGAGCCAAACCGGCCAGGGCAATAAAAACATATTTTTAAAAAGATAATTAAACTCAACACATTCCTTTCGGCCTGCTCACACTGTGGCCCAGGTCTGGTAATAATTTCAGGGAATTGCTGCATTCAGAGGCATTTCTAAAAATGAATTACTAGTGCCAGATTAATAAAATACAAGTTAGAAAACAAAATAAACTTTTCAAAAACCTTGAGTTTACCAAATGCTATAAAAATGTTTTAAAAGCAGGATTATGTTTAAAGTACAATATTACTAGGGAGCAGCACACATACAAAATAGTTTTAAGCAGCCTCAGGACAAGTCAAATCTGTTAGGACTACAACTGTGTAAATGTAACTAGCAGTACTTAGGGTACAATTTTAAGTGGCTGGGGTCCTATGTTTTAAGGTCCATCTTCTACTTTAAAGCCTAATCTGAGGCATGAGTGACTACAAATGCTCCTCTACCAATTTCCAGAGATATAGACCACACTAGAACACTCACTCAACATTTCTCATTGATTCTCTTGTCACACAGCTTCTCTCCTAAAAGAAGACTCTATCTTTTGGTTTAAAAACAAAACAAAAACACAATTATAGAAATCCCGAGTAATCCACGAAGCTTTTCAGGAGTTCGATGTACAAGAACCAAAAAGTCCTAAAACTTCTGCCTACGTATGAGTCAAGAAGCAGCCCTGGCCGATTTGGCTCACCGGTTAGAGCGTTGGCCTGCAGTCCAGAGAGACCCGGGTTTGGTTCCCACTTAAGGGCACATACCTGGGATGCAGTTTGTCCCCGGCCCTGGTTGGGTCATGCGGGAGGCAGCTACTACTCGATGTGTCCCTTTCATGTCGATGTTTCTCTCTCTCTCTCTCCCTCCCTCCCTCCCTCCCACTCCATCTGAATGAAAGAATGGGAAAATGTCCTCAGGTGAGGATAAAAAAAAAAAGTCAAGAAGCAATTATAAATTTAGGGTTAAGGTTGAGCCAAATAAATCTTACTACTGACCTTTTCTGAGTAGGGGAACACACATACACACCAAACAATGTAAATACTTCACACACAGGCATTTTAAATTTTCCTCAAAAATGCCTCAGTAAATCAATGTTTATAATTAGATACTCTGGAAAACCTCACTTTTTAGTTTTTCTTCAAATATTATCTTATATTTCACTTATATTAAAGTGGTAGAACAAAAATACCTACGGTAGCCAGCACTTTGGCATTTAAATGTGGTTTTAAGAGACTGAAATCTATCTAAAACCTAGTCTCTAAGAATGTAGTAATGCATTCTGTGTGGTTAAGATTGATTCCAGAAAGTTTACTTCACAATCAAGAGAACTTATTTTCCAGAACTTTACCGTTTATTCAGCTCTCCTCATCACTATCTCACAGGACTGTTAAGATTAAACAGAGTAAAGCCAGTGCTATTACTACTTCTTTTTTAGATAAAGAAAATGTGAAGTTCAAAAGGTTAAGTGACAATTTAAGAGAAGCAAAACATATTAAAAATTCAGATACTTATTAAATTGCAACTCTGTTATAACACAGATTTAATTATGAGATGTAACTATTGTAATACTTTCAAACAGTTCGTAAGTAATATGTCAGACCTGTATGTGGAGGAAAGGAACATTTTATACCATGTCTTATATATCATAAATTTAAACTTTTCTTTATATTTAAGAGATGTTTATTTCATTTCTAAATAATAAATGATTTACTTTAAATTCATTATCCTAGCATTCCTAATGCTTTCTCTAACTTGGACTTTCTTCTTATACACTAAATAATAGAGGGTGTATCAAAAATATAATCTCTTATTCAGAAAACTAATTCTTATAATCTGCAGTAAATGGATAAGGACTTAAGACAAATACAATGAAGATTCTATAGATTTCTTTTAAGCCATTCTTTTTATCCTCATTCCAAAAAAATTTTTCCCCAGAGTTGGTAATACAGATAAAATAAAATCTCCATTCAATTATAAAACTGCTGAACTAAAAATTATGACTTGCTAATTCTGAATATTAGCCAATACAAAAGAATTCCTATACATCAAAATAACCTGGGCTATGCCCTCCAGTTAAAATTCTGTTGTAATATTATCTAAAATGTCTCCTTCATTTGTAAGCAGAGAAGAGGAGGAACTAGTAGCAATAGCCTTAACAGTCTATGTCAGGCCCAGCTGGTGTGGCTCAGTGGATTGAGTGTCCTCCCACGGACTGAGAGGTCCCAGTTAGATTCCCAGTCAGGGCACATGCCCGGGTTGTGGGCTGTATCCCCAGTGAGGAGTATGCAGGAGGAAACAGATGGATGTTTCTATCTCACTCTCCCTTCCTCTCTCTCTAAAAAATCATATTTTATAAAAACATTTTTTTTTTAAACGTCTATGTCTGACCTGTGTGGCTCCATGGTTAGAGTGCCATCAGCCTTCAAACCAAAGGGTCTCAGGTTCGATTCCCAGTGAAGGACACATACCTAGGTTGCAGGTTCCATCCCCAGCCCCAATTGGGGCATGCTTAGGAAGCAACCAATCAATGTGTCTCTAACACATCGATGTTTCTCTCTCTCCCTCCCTCCCTACCTTCTATTGTCTCTAAAAATTAACAGAAAAAATATCCTGGGGTGTGGACTAAACCCCCCCAAAATAGTCTACGTCTGGCATAAATGACCTGAATACACTAAGATGGGTTCTTCTGAGGTCAAGGCCTAAAGCTCTTAACCACTATGCTACTGTATTTCAAAAATTAAGTTCCAGGTTCCAAAGTAGAGATCAATTTTGAAAGACCTTGTTTAGCTCTCACATTACTTAGGGGAGTGAGACTGGCACTATCTTATTCATTTGCTCTTCACAAGCTGTTTCCATATTCCCAGAGATCCTCTGCAGAGCCTGCAAGAGGCCATTCTGGATGATTTACCCGTAAGTCTATAACTTGGAACCTATGAATGACATCAACACACTCCTAAACTACCTAAAAGTAACCAAAGCAACATTTTGGAAAATATTTCTCTCTTTGCTTGGATCAATCATTTTTTCAAAACGATTTTTATTTTTATTTCTCCAGATAGAAGAAATAAGACAAAATTCAATATAAAAAATAAGAGAAAACAAACCAAATGCCATGTACAGCTCTGTTTCTTCTTCTTTAAAATAGGATCATACTGTATGTGGCTACATCATCAGGATGTTGGGAAGATTAAGGGAATTAAGAAAAAAATCTTAAGCCCTGGCTAGTTTGACTCAGCGGTATAGTGTCGGCCCACGGACCAGAAAGTCCTGGGTTTGGTTCCCGCTAAGGGCACGTACCTCGGTTGCAGTTTGTCCCCAGCCCTAGCTGGGGTTGTGTGGGTGGCAGCCACTCAATGTGTCTCTCTCACATGGATGTTTCCCTCTCTTCCCCCTCTCTCCCTCCTGCTCTATCTGAAGATAAATGCAAAAATGTCCTCAGGTGAGGATAAAAAAAAAAATCTTAAAAGGTATTGGCAAATAAGCAGTCAGTCAATAAAGATAAGCTATTATCTTTAGGGATCACTTTTTTAAAAAATGCTTCTTTAAACAAAAGAATCACACTCATCTGTAAGACGATGGTTAAACTGTAAGAGTGATGAAAGAATAGATTTTCTTCAACTGTAATAAAAACCTCACAAGGACATATATTCAATATGAGAAATGGTAGCTAAAACTGCCTGCCCTATTAAAAAAGTTTTTAGGGGCACAGCAAAAACATGGTTGAATATTCATAGTATAGTAGTCCCTCGCTACTTCGCGCTTCAACTTTCGCTGCTTCACTCTATCGTGGTTTTTTCAAATATATTCATTAAAAAGTTGATTGAGCCCTGGCCGGTTTGGCTCACCGGTTAGAGCATCGGCCTTCGGTCCAGAGAGACCCAGGTTTGGTTCCTGCCAAGGGCGTGTACCTCGGTTGTAGTTTATCCCCGGCCCTGGTTGGGTTGTGCGGTTGGCAGCACTCAATGTGTCCTTTTCACATCGATGTTTCTCTCTCTCTCTCCCTTTCTCTCCCTCCCACTCTATCTAAACAAAAATGGAAAAACGTCCTCAGGTGAGGATTAAAAAAAAAAAAAGTTGATCGAGACAGTAAAAATGATACAGCACACGCTCGGTTGTCTGAGCCAATTATACACCTCTGTATTACAATTAAAATTACTGTACATATAGACTGTAGGCCTATGTATTCGAGCACCCCAGGAATCATTCATTGCCAGGTGCAACCGCTAGAG